CATGTGAAAAGATAAAAATAACTGAAAACGACACACTCGCACATGCGCACTCTTAGGGTACACCCCACTTGGTTGCCTTCGTACGTGGTCATTGAGTATAGGTTGTTTTAGAGGTCGCCCTCTTGTCCAAAGATCATAGTTGCCTCGAAACGGTTGCCTCGGATATGATTGCCTCAAACAAATGATCTAAGACATTAGGGTTACCGCTAAGGCGTCCTAACATTGCTTTGGTGACCGTAAGTCCCTAAATTAGAATTGACCCTCAAACTCCAACGATGGTGCTACCTACTCATCAATAGTAGGATAGCATTGTCTAAAGGAAAATTGCATAGAACGATTCATTTTTCGAGTAGGTAGATGGTTCTTAAGTACTTGCTCTTTCAAAAAAAAAAACAAAAACAAAATCTTTTTCACACTTACATCTTTCAAACAAACACAAAGAAAAGAAATTTTGAAAACAATATGAGCAAGTACCTAAGAGCCCGTGGATAACCACGGATAGAAAGGGTGCTAACACCTTCCCTTTCTATAATCTACCCCCCGAACACGAGAAACATCTCAAAAAAGGAATTTTTCTGTGCTTTTTTCCTTTCCTTGTTGGATAAAATAAAAGACGGTTGCGACTCTTGCTTACCGCGACATTTTGCGAAAACAAACACAAAACGCAAACCAGCATTCCAAAAACAGCCAGTTCTTCCCACCGCATCACACAAAGCATCATTTTCATAACACCTACGAAATTTAGTACCTCTAAACATATGAAAGATTGTGATAAGTCAGATTGCTCCAATCACATATGTCAAGCGTTGGTATGTTATGAGGTTAATATAGCTTCAGTACCTGAAAATACTTGGTGGTTAGACTCTGTAGAAACTACTAACATCAGTGTTTCAATAAAGAGTTTCTTAAACTACGAAAAATCCAAATGATGTTAAAAGATATATCTATGTGGGAGATGGAAAGTTGGGTGAAGTGGAAGTTATAGGGAAGTTTAGATTATTGACATGTACCAAATTTTATTTGAATTTGACATACACTTTTGTGATTTCGTCATTTAGACAGAATTTAATTTCAGTTACTTATTTGGAAACAATATATTTAAGTTGTCTTTAAATTCAGTTATTGTTGGAACTAGTTCATTATGGATCATGATAATCTATATTTGCTTGACACAATAGCCACCTATGACAGATCTTTGAATATGGAATCACATGGTACTACGCATAAAATTGATGATAGAAATTCAGGAGTATTATGGAACAAGTGCCTAGGTCACATCTCTAAAAATAGAGTTGAGCGACTAGTGTTAGATGAAATTTTAGATTCCATTGACTTCACAAAATTTAATGTTTTTGTTGAATGTGTTAAATGTAAACAGACTAAAACAAAGAAACTTGGTATATATATAGCTACATATATCTTAGAATTGATACAGACTAATATTTGTGGACCATTTTCTACACCTTCTTGGAATGACCAACAATATTTTATATCAATCATAAACGATTATTCTAGATATACGTACAAATTTCTTATACGTGAAAAGTCTCAATTATTGGATGTGTTCAAACCAGTTAAAGCTGAAGTTGAGAATCAACTCAACAAAAGAACTAAGATAGTCAAATCTGACTACGACTATGAATATTACGGTAGATATGACAATTCAAGTGAACAACGTCTGAGACCTTTTGCAAAATACCTAGAGGAATATGGAATTGTCCCACAGTATACAATGATAGGGTCACTTAGCATGAATGGTGTGGCTGAAATACGAAATCGAACTCTTTAAGATACGGTAATGAGTATGATTTGTCATTCTATCTATCTAGAGTCACCCTGAGGAGAGACACTAAAGACTGCAACTTATATTCTAAATAGAGTGTTAACTAAGGCAGCTGCCAAAACACCTTATAAACTTTGAACTGAGCAAAATCCTAGTCTAAAACATTTTCACGTATAAAGATGTCCAGTAAAGGCAAGGCCTTATAGGCCAAATAAAAATAAATTAGACTCTCGAATAATGAGCAATTACTTTATTAGTTATTCTAAAATATTTAGGGGTTGCAATTTTTTAAATCCCAAATTAAACTCAATTTTTGAAACGGGAACAACCACATTCTTTGATGATAATTAGTTTGGGAAAAATAATAAGGTTAGAGACTTTTTTTAGAGGAAGCATCGCTAACAATTCCAGAACTAATTCATACTGTTGCTTTTGATCAAGAAAGTATGAAACCTCTATAAAATATGGTTGAATTTCCTACTACTCAAGATGATTTGGTAATTCATGAAGAGCAAACTCAACATCCTCAAGAACAAGTGTTACAAGAACAAATACCTTTGCAGATATCCACTAGAGAAAGGAGAAAAGTTATTCTGAATGATTATATAGTTTTTCTCCTAGAACATGAAAAAAATAATGGTATGATGGAAGATGATTCAATCAGCTTCTGCCAAGCCATACAAAATTCTAACTCGGAAAGTGGATTGAAGCAATGAATAATGAGTATAAGTCCATGCAAGACAATAAGATTTAGAAATTTGCCCTGTTACTATAAAGTGGAAACCAATTAGTTACAAATGAATTTTTATGACCAAGCGGAATTCTAGAAGTAATGCAGAGAGGTATAAGACTTGTCTTATAGCTAAGGATTAATACTCAAAAACAAGGGATTGACTTTAAGAGACTTTCTCCCCAATTCGTTGAAATACTTTTTAGGACAATTATGACTCTTATTGCACATTATAATTTGGAACTCCATTAAATGGATGTTAATACGGCTTTCTTCAATAGCAACGTTGATGAAACTATCTATATGGTGCAAACAAAAAACTGTGTCAGGAGATTCAAAGAATATAGTTTATAAATTGGTAAAATCCATTTATGCACACAAGTCTTGTCAATGGTACAACATGTTTCACGAAGAAATTATCTCATTTGGTTTTGAGGTGAATATTGTTGAAGATTGTGTGTATCACAAATTCAGTGGGAGCAAGTACATTTTTCCGGTCATGTATGTCGATGACATACTGTTTGCCGCTAATGATATAGGCATGATACACGAAACCAAGAAATCTCAAGGCTGTATGCGTCCAGATATTATATTCATAGTTGGAATGTTAGATAAATATTTGAGCAATCTAGGTATAGATCATTGGAAAGTAGCCAAAAATGTTATGAGGTATTTAAAAAGAGAAAAAGATTATATACTCATATATAGGAGGTCAGACCCGTTGAAGATCATTGGATACTCTGACTAAGATTTTGATGGATGTCAAGATAGTAAAATATCCACTTCAGTCTATATCTAAATGCTGGCTGGTGGTGCAGTTTCTTGGCACAATGACAAACAAAATCATATAGCTTCATCCACCATGATAGCGAAAATTATATCATGTTTTAAGGCATTCAACCATGAGATTTGACGGAGGAACCTTGTCACTGGAATGAAAATTATGAAAAAAATTAAAAAACCACTTAAATTATATCGTGATAATAAATCATTCGTCTTATCTTCAACAAAAATAGGAGCTCGACTAAGTCAAACATATTGATATCAAGATCCTAGTTATTTAGGAAAGGGTACAAAGTAGACAGATTTCCATAGAGTACTTGGGGACAAACTCCATGATAGAAGATCATCTTACAAAAAATCTTTCACCCGGGATCTTTCATTAGCACACTGCTCACATGAGTGTTTTACGATTAAAGAAATCTTTAATTTAATGAGAGTTAGTCAATTATAAATTTAATGTGTGTTATTATGTATGTATACTTTGTTTTTAATATTTTGATTTATAAAGTTTGACATTAGATTATTTATACTTTGTAAAATAAGTTTATTAAATGATCTTACTAAAGTAAAGTAGGATCAGTTGAAAATCGACATGTACAAACCAACTTCATGTGAATGTCATGTTACACATTTCATAATGAATCTATATCATCTAATTATGTCACTATTGGTAATCACTAGTAAATTTTAATTATGATTAATATAACAAAAATTACTTTGATTATGTATACTAATATGACTAATGAATGTAAAATCTAACACGTATGTAAAATTACATTTGTGTGTAACCAGTTAAAGATTATTAGAATTTTAACACACCATTAATTAAGATATTAAATCTGTGACTTTATATATATATATATATATATATATATATATATATATATATATATATATATATATATATATATATATATATATATATATATATATATATATATATATATATATATATATATATATATATATAAAATTTAATGAAACACTAAATTAAAATATGAAAAACTAAAATATAATTATAAAATTATTTATATGGATTATAATCTCCTTTTAATTCTATAGATTATGATTTCCATTTATACAACAAAGAGTCGGAATTCTCTCTTCATCATTATGATTTACATTTATACAACAAAGAGTCGGAATTCTCTCTTCATCATCATTAGAGAAATTCATACAACTTACAAATACAACTTTCAACAATTTCAATAACAAATTCAAATAGATTAACTTTCAACAATTTCAATAACAAATTCAAATAGATTTCCACTTTTTGTTTTCATTTTCTGATTTAACGAATGCGAGTAATGACATATTTGACTTTTGGAGTTTTTTTCTTGATTTAAACAAAATAATAATGAAAATATTCCTCTACTTAAATAGAAAGAAAAACTAAAGCTATTAGGTTTATGCTTAGTAAACCCCAGATTAATATTACAAATAGCTATTTACAAAATTAAACTTTTAATTACACATTGCAGATATCGTGCGACACAACACGGTAAACATTATCAGAGCAAAACAACAAATAGATAGAGCAAAATGGAAAACTTTTGACGTAGACAAAAGCTTTTATAAGTTATCACGCCAACACTCTTAAAAGTATCATACATTACTTTCCGTTTTTACTACCATAATAAGATCTAACACAAGTTCATAGAAATTCTCATATCAACCATTTCCTCAGTAACTAAAATACACCCTCTAATCAATGCACACTGATTCAGAATCCTCAACATCATCTTCCACATCAACACTAGTTACATCTTCTCTAGTAGCAGACAAGAGAATGCTTGAAGCAGATGAGCCTACTGTTTCTTCCACACCAACACCACCATGTGATAGTATAGTCTTTCTATTACTTCTGCTAACTCTCAATTTCCTCAACAACTCAGAAACATCACTCTCATCACCCAATAACTCTCCATCTTGTAACTCTTTAAGTTCTTCATTTGTCACACCTTCACTCACCCTATGACTACTGAAAGACTCTGGTGTGACTAGAAATATGAGTGGCCTATAGAAACATAGGAGAATCATGAGTAGCAAAACGTACACATACAATGAAACCCAAACATATAAAGCCCACTTCCAATTCCTGAGTAACTCCTTTGTCCAAGGTAGGTGAGAGTTAAGAACAATTTCAGCTTCGTATAGCTGTGGAAGAGATGAAGTTCCTGCTCTTGGATGAAGGGTTAATCTTACAGCACTGCTTCTTTGATTCATTTCCTTGTGCCTTAGTATTTCTAAATTGATTTTCTGTGTCTCAGCTGAGATTCCTAGTACTAAAGGCACACCCATCATAACTGTCCTCGCCAGCCGAATCGGCGAGCTTCGGAACCTTAACATGCATGGCTGGCTTGATTTTGACATCACATTTCCATTTACTGATACAAGTTCTGCTGTCAACTGCAAAGCATAGTTTCCATATCACAGTTCACATGTGTAATTCAATGAAATTTGAGAGACAAAAAACATACCTGAAACACTCCAAGCTCTCTGTTGAAGTCAGATTCGGGCATCAAGAGTGACAAAGAAACAGAAAATGTGTGACCAACTGGAACACGTACGTGTTTTTTCTTAATATATCCTCCACCAGCACTAACTCCACCAGTAAACGAAAAAACAGCTGAAGGGTGAGTTTCAGTGTAATCAAAATGCAAACGTTCATGAACAATCAGAGGCTCCTCAACCCAAAACCGAACCAACCCTACACCCACCACAGAAGCTAAAATCAGAACTAAAAATAGAACCATGCACACATATGCAGCACTCAGAAAACATAGTCCCAGTTTCTTCAGCAATACTATGCTACTATAAGCTATTTGTGAAGGAGAATTGTCTCTGGTTTCCTGACCGTGGTGGTAAGACTCAGGTGTAACGGTTAAAAGAGAGTAGAAAGGGGAAAAGAGAGAGGCCATGCTGTTGTAGATTAAGTCTGCTGGTTAGGAAAAACCAAAGAGTACTTTTGGTTTCCATCCATGGAGATGACTAGTGAAGGAGAAAGGAGAGGCTTGAGACAGGTGTTGTTGCATGCTGTTGCATAACATAAACGTGTCATATGCATGAAAATCAGAACATGATGTCGTGGCAATCTGCATGACAAGGAGAAACACCTAACTAATATTGAATGATGCCTAAGCTCATCCTACTTTACCCTTTCAATCAAATTTAATTTACACTAAAACATATATTTTTATGTAATTTATTAATTCAAAATAAGTTGTCCAATCAAATACATCTTTTTAGACATGTGGCAAATGTTTATCATTTCTTTCATTCAATTGGGTTTCATGTTGCTACCCGAGTACTCTTTCCCTCCCTCGGCACATTTTCATGACAAATATGAAATGAAATGGTTTTCGACACATTTTAAAGAACCGATTTTTGTGAAAGTTTTTTTTTTTTGATTTTTTTTTGTTCTTTCTATTTTGTTTCTGACTTTCGAATTTTGTTGATGTTTTGATTTGTTTTGTTTTGATTGAAAGTTTTGATTTTGTTTCTCGATTTATGTTTCTCATTTTCTAGTTCTATTGATGTTTTGATTTGTTTTGTTTGAATGTTTTGATTTTGTTTTGATTTTCTGTTTCTGTTTCTGATTTTATTTTGTTTCTGCTGATGACAAATCCGATATTTTTGTTTTGTTAATGTCATCATGTTATGCTGAGTTGCTATCATTGTCAGTCTTTGTGAAAAATGTTGTGTTAAACATATATACCTCTTGATGTTTACTATTTTTTTTCTATTTTGATGTTTTCCTTAGATTTATGCCTACAAGGTAAAGATTGGAGAGAGATACACAAAATGGTCATTGACGGCGAGAGACTGAGATCCATCGACATTGAGAGAGTATAATGTCGACTTTTCACACAATAGAGAGGATGTAAGTTTTGGCTTTCGTCGCAACTGGTAATTCTATATTAATATTGTTAGTAGTGGTGAAGTTGATAGTTGATAGCAGATAGTTTAAGAGAGTTGTTTAGAAAGAAGGCTATGTCATTGATTTCTTGGATGATACATTACAAGATACCAAATGCCTATTTATAGGCTCAAGTCGTCAACCTCTCAATGGTGGTGAATGTTTCTACATTACTTTAGATTTTTCTAGAGTTTTCATGATATGTTAGTATCATGATAGTTCTAGGTTCTTCTATCTTTTACATACACTTATAGTTCTAGATTATTCTACCATACTCATACACATTATAGTTTCTAGGTTATTCTACCATTACCATACATATTATATTTAGAATATTCTAGAAATTTGTAGCAATTTCAACACTCCTCCTTGATGCAAATTTCTGTAACTCCAAGCATAGTTCGCAGCTCTTCAAATCTTGGTCTCAGTAACGCCTTCGTGAATATCTCTGCAATTTGTTCTTCTATTCTGCAGTAGTCGAGTTTGATCTCCTTAGTTGCTTCAGCTTCTCTAATAAAGTGATACTTGATTGCTATGTGTTTTGTTCTACTGTGATGCACTGGATTTTTCGCTATTGCAATTGCTGATTTGTTGTCACAATTAATTTTAGTAGGCTCATCTTGTTTTTCTCTCATGTCTTCAAGTATCCTGCGAAGCCATATAGCTTGACTCGTTGCTTCAGCAGCAACCACATACTCTGCTTCTGCTGTTGATTGTGCAACTGTAGCTTGCTTCTTCGACGTCCAAGAGAAAATTCCCAATCCTAGTGAGAAAGCATAGCCAGAGGTGCTCTTCATGTCATATACCGAACCTGCCCAATCACTATCGGTGTAGCCAAGTAATTCTGAGTTGGTTTTGGTAGTGTACCATATACCAAACTCTTTTGTTTCTTGTAGATACCTTAAAATTCTTTTTCCTGCTCCATATTTGACTTGGGCTTTGCATGAATCTTGATAGAAGACTTGTAGCATACATTATGTCTGGCCGTGTAGCTTTCAAATATAGAAGGCTTCCAATTAGACTTCGATATTTGGATGCATCAGCTTCTGGTGTTCCATCATTCTTCTGTAGTTTCTCATTTGTTATGAGTGAAGTAGCGTCAGGTTTGCAATCGTACATATTGAATTTCTTAAGTAAGCCTTCTGTGTATTTATTTTGCGAGATGAATATCCCTTCATTTCTATGACTTACCTCTATACCGAGGAAGTAACTTATCAAACCAAGGTCAGTCATCTCAAAGGTCTTCATCATGTCTTCTTTGAACTCCATCATCATCTTGGTATTGTTTCTCATATAGACAAGGTCATCTACAAATAGAGAGAGTAAGAGAGTGTACTTACCTTGATACTTGATGTAAAGTGTAGGCTCACTCTTGCTCCTCCTGAATCCTTGATCTATGAAATATTGATCAATTCTGCTATACCATGCTCGAGGTGCTTGCTTCAAACCGTAAAGTTCTTTTCTTAGTCTTAACACTTTGATTTCTTCGCTTTCAGAAATGAATCCTTGTGGCTGCTCCACATAGATCTCTTCTTCAAGTACACCATTGAGGAAGGCTGATTTGACATCTAGTTGCTGGATACTCCACCCACTTTGTACCGCAATAGCTATTAGAGCTCTAATGGTATCAAGATGAGCTACTGATGTAAATGTCTCATTGTAGTCAATCCCAGGTTGTTGTGAGTAACCCTTAGCTACTAATCTTGCCTTCTGTTTCTGTATGGTGCCATCAGAGTTGAGCTTTGTCTTATAGACCCACTTAACCCCAACGATATCTTTTCCATGGGGATGATTTACTAACTCCCATGTGTTGTTTTTCTCGATCATCTTTATCTCTTCTTCCATTGCCTTGACCCATACTTCTTGCTTTGATGCTTCTTCAAAGCTTCCAATTTCAAGTATGGCCAAGTTACAGGTTTCATATATATTCATCAAAGATCTTACTCATCTTGGAGTAGACTCTGGTGATGATAATTCTTGATCATGTTGTTATGGTGGAGGTGAAGAAGGTTCACCTGGGCCTTCTTCCTCAGATTCTTCTTGAGGTAGTTGAGCTGGTATAAGGATTTTCTTCTCCACCTTTTCTTCATCCCAATTCCAAGAAGCATTCTCATCAACTTCAACATCTCGACTGATGATGAGTTTTTTAGTTTGCAAGTTGTAGACATGGTAGCCTTTAGAGATTGTGCTATACCCCAGGAAGATACCTCGTATAGTTTTCTCTTCAAGTTTAAGCCTCTTCACGTCTGGAATATGAATGTAGCATATAGATCCAAAGACACTTAGGTGCTTTTCTGATGGCTTCTTCCCGTTCCAAGCTTCAATTGGAGTCTTATCTTGTATTGACTTAGTTGGACATCTGTTAAGTATGTAAACAATAGTGTAGACTACTTCAGCCCAGAATATGTTAGGAAGTCCCTTCTCCTTGAGCATCGATCTAGCCATCTCCATAACTGTGTGATTCTTTCTCTCAGATACACCATTTTGTTGAGGAGAATATGCGACTGTAAGTTTTCGCTATATGCCTTCATCCTCACAAAATTTGTCAAACTCGCGGGAGGTGTATTCTTTGCCACAATCACTTAGTACTTTTATCCGTTTTCCACTTTGATTTTCAACAAGGGCCTTGAACTTTTTGAATACTCCAAAGACTTCTGATTTTTCTTTTAGGAAATAGACCCATGTCATTCTAGAGAAGTCGTCAATAAAGAGTATGTAGTACCTGTTATTCTCGTGTGATGGTGTTCTCATCGGTCCACAGACATCAATATGAATTAGCTCCAACAGATCTTTTGCTCTACGTGCTCCGCTTGTTGAGAACGAAAATCGGTGTTGCTTACCAAGGAGACATCCTTCAGACACTTCATTGTTCTTCTTTATTCTTGGAAAATCTCTCATCATGTTCTTCTCATGTAACAACTTTAAGGAACGTGTGTTGAAGTGGCCAAATCTTTGATGCCAGAGTCATGAATCATCAACTTGTACCTTCATGGTGTGATACGGTGGGAGAATTCACTTGAGGTTTTTGCGTTTGATCATAAATGTTGCGGTTAACAAGAGTCGCCACCGACTTTTCTTTTATCCAAAAGGAAAGGTGAAAAAGCACAAGAAAGACCTTTGAGATTGTTTCTTGAGTTCGGGGGGTAGATTATAAAAAGGGAAGGTATTAGCACCCTTTTTATCCATGGTTTTCCATGGGCTCTTAGTTACTTGCTAGATCACTTGCTTTTATTTGAAATTGTGCTTTGTGTGGTTTTTGAAAGTATTTTGTAAAGAGGTCATTGTTTAGGCAATCTTTGTAATGATTCTCGTTCGTAAGAATGTATACAAAGATGTTGATATTTTTGAAAATGTTTTCAAGTTTTTTAAGATGTTTTGAAAGTGTACGTGATTGTTTTGAAAATAGCAAGGATGTTTGTTTTGAAATGGAGCAATTAATTAGGAGCAATCTACCTACTTCAAATGTCTTTATTGTTCATTTCCTTTTCCTTTGACATTGTTGTCTTACCATTGATTTGGTAAGCAACCCTATCTTTGGATGTAAACGGGACGGGCGTGGGTCATCATATAGCCATGATTAGCAATGTTGTAAGGTATCTTTCGAATTCTTTTTGAGGGACTAAGATTATTTGTAAGGCAACTTTAGATAGCGTCATCGAGGGACTATGATCTTGTATTTGCTTGTTTTTGCTAAGATACTTCACATGCGTAATATGGCCATTTTGTAAGGCAACCAAGTGGATTTTACCCTAGGGATGCTTGTGTGCAAAGGGTGTCATTTTCATGCTTGCTTTTGTCTTGGATTAGGGTTTTCTATTTGATTGTTTTTATCTTGCCATACAAACCCTAATTACTAGCATGTTATGTAAAAGCGATAAATTGCGAAATTTAAAGTTACTACGCTATTACAATATTTGTGAGAGGGGGGTATACAATTTATGAATGGGGATTGCAATAATATAAACCTAATTAATCTATTACAACCAAATTGAATATTTTACA